TGATCTTGAATATGAAACTACTTACAGTGTTTTTTTTTTTCCTTTCTGTATCTTCACAAAGGTATCTTCACAGGGCAAGAAAAATCATGTATTGTTTCAAGGATGATAGCCTACTGCAAATACAGCAAGCAGCTTGGATTGGGTTTATAAGCCTAGTGGAAGTAGCAGTTTGAGTTATATGCCACTTCGAAGACACCACAGAATTTAAGCAGAATATTACTGAGTATGGAAAAGAGGTCAATGTTCAATTTCAGTAGGATTATTAAGTACAATAGAAAAGCCTTCTTTGGATGTGTGCTTTCCTATCCTGCAAGGAGGCCAGCAACACCAGTGTAGAACAAGTTTCCTCTTAAAAGCTCTAGGCTTCTGTTCAGTCGTCTTTCTGAAGTATAGTCTCAAGTTGCTTTGGCCTGGATATTTTTTCTTTATATATTTTTATTTTGTTGTGTGGTTTGCATCTTCTGTGGTAGAACACCCATTAATTGCAATTGTAGCCTTGCCAAATGTGTATGGAATTCTGTAGAACCCCTGGACTATACAATAAAGTGAAGAAACAGGGGTATTAAATTGTCTGGGGAGGAGAATTTTATCGAGAACATTATTTCTCCTTTGGCTTTCAAAATAACATGGATTACTGGAGTGGAGTATATGTCCATAGGTAAAGCTGTAACATGCAGAGGACTGGAAAAATAAGAAAGCAATGGAGAGAAAGCAGAAGAGATAGATAAGAGTACATAACAGCAGCAAAAGGCAAGTGAGTGATTTTTCCATTTCAATTTTTATCCATTTGTTCCTTTATTTCGACTTTCAAGTTCTTGTTTACCAATTGTTACAAAATGCATAGTGTTAGAAGCAAAATAAAAAACCAAACCAAAACAAAGCCCCCCAAAAGCCTATAGACCCTGGCAATTTAGTATATTGTATGTGAGGTTAGTGTAGAGCCACAGAAACTATCCTAAGTTACTAATATTGAACTTGTATTGATTCTTTATTTCCCTTTTAACATTTTCTGGTAAAACACAGAAAAACTTCCAATTTTTAATTTCACTCAGGTAATTAACAATATAGCTGATTTTTAAAACTATTCTGGAAGCCAGTTAGTTGTGACTGATTCTTAATGACCTACATAAGAGGCAAAAATACAGATGGAACTTAGTCTGGTATTTTCTCCTAGTGGACTTGGACTGTAGGATTGGGGTGAAACGTGTGTGCGTGTATGTACGTAGAGTAGCAAGTGCTTTTAAAGAACAGGGTTGACAACAAAGTCAACTGAAATGGATTTAAAGTATAGTATTTACTATAGCTAGAGCTGCTAGGGCCACCTGTACTTAAGGTCGCGTGACCCTTTCCATTTTAAGACTTAACTCTTCGTTACTTTATAACTTTGCCAAAGTTCAATTCAGACAGATTTTTCCATGCCAGCTGTCTGCTTTGGGTTGAATTTTTTTGAAAGTTTCAGCCAAAGCAGTTCTGTTCCAAGAATAAGGCTAGTGAGAAGTATGCTATTTTGCTTGTGTGAGAATATTCTGGTGTCCTTCTTTGATGCTCCAGTGCCCCTAAGCTCTGAAGCAGGGATTTGAAATTTGGCAGTAGTTCAGCCTTTGTGTTGAGGATGTGCCTTTTGCCTCCCTGTAAAAATCCACCCAAATTTCCAGACCAGTTTACAAGGCTTTGAAAGATTGCCATTTGCATGGGCTTAATAGGAATTTCTTAAAACTTCACAGTAAGCTTCCTTTAGATTCTGTTCACACTGGGAATGCTTCAGGCAGAGTAGAGCTGCATATTTCATCCCACTTCTGCTAGGAACTGTGACGGCTGGATCTGGGTGCTGACACTGAACTAAGAGTGGGCAGCATTTTGTCTTGTACCACCACCGCCTATTCCCATGTCCCGTTCCTTCTCCATGGTGAAGGACATGGGCCCTCTGGAAAAAGAAACTGTCTCACTCCTCTGAAAGAGCACGACAGATGTGGAGGAGAAGAATTTAGGAGCATGTGTGTGTGTCTGTCTGATTTGTAACATTCCTTTGGTCATAGAAAATGTGTGTATTATACTGGCAAAATACTACTTCCTTTTCTAGTGGGTATTCAGATAATAATAGTTTTGTTGTATTTAAACTTCATTAGTTGAGTGGGTCTCAAGGTTTTAATCAATTTACTGAACTATCAATGTAAAAAAAAATTACTCAAAAAATGTCACGGAACAGTAATGTTATTTAGAGGGCAAAAATCAAGTGCTCCATTCTTTCAAACATTTCAGTCTAACTCAGACTTCTTGTGTTTAATACATTATCATATAGCCTCCAACTTCTTCACAGGTGTTGCATGCTTTGTCCAAGAGGCAGCTATTTGACTGGAATGGGGAAGGAGGTCTATTCTGAGGATGAGTCCAGGATTTGTACAGTAAAGGATGTGTGTTCATCTGTTGCAGAAGTTAAAGCATGTGGCATAAGCGAAGCAGAGATTTCAGGAATTAAAAAAAGGCTTTGTGGCTAAGACAGTTGGATGTTGGTTGATTAATTGTGTGCGATCTGTGCTTGGTCATGGTGTTTTTACATGATGCACTCAACTTTTCCTATGTGGCTGCTCACGCTGTGTGCTCTAGTGGCTGGTTTGAGAACTCCTATCAATTTGCAGAAATGCAGACACAATTGCAAGTGAACTCAGTGGGAGCTAAACCTCATGTTAAACACTGTATGTTACTAGGGACAGTAAAAATCAGGCTCAAAGGATGTGATATTTGACATCTGGAACTAGGGAATATTTTAATCTAATTAACCTAATGCCGCAGTTGCCTGTTTTACAGATGTAAAAATTACTTGTCCCATCTCTGTAGAAAGGCTTGTGAAGAAGTTGGTCGCCTTTGTAGCAGGACTGAAAAATGACATGCTAGAAATAAAGCATATGACCACCTCCCGTTGATCAGGAATGAAACAAAGCATTGATAAATATGTGATCAAAATGCTCACCTTTCCAGTGTTTACCTTTTTGACCTTAATTCTTTTAAAAATAAAAGATGTGATTTTTCTCTGTGAATTTAATAAGCATCCAGCTTCCTTTTGTCCAAATAGTCCAATTTTGCCAATCCCTTGGTAGCTCTCTTGATTCTGGAGGTGGAGTCATTATTTCACTCTGCAATTTATTTCCCAATAAAGCATGCAAGCCTGAACTGTATTGGATCTGTCTGAAACCAATGATGTCAACCTACAGAAAGTGTTACATTTTTTTTTTTTTACTGTATTAACTAATCCATTTCATACTGATCCAATCATAAAAATCTTAATATCACAGCTTTGGAACTTAAATTTTCCACTTTGAGTCGGCAGTCAAAATTTGTAAACTATGAGGATAATGTTATAACACAAGTGTAATTAGCAGTAACCTTTTAATTCTCCACTAAATCATAGCCACATTACCTTTGTACTAGTTGAATAAAATATTACTGGGATTCTCATCCATTCTGTTCACTATGGAGATGGAAAGAACACTTGCTGAAACCATTGACTACTACTTCACCATGATAAATTTCCCATTTGTAAACCTGCCTCAACAATACATCATTTTTATCACTTTGTAAAGCCAACTGTTACCTGAAATTTGCTATGCAAAAAAAATATTTGAAGGTTTTTTGAAAGGGACAAGGTTACAACAAATAAGCGAATGTGTGTTTGTGGAAGTATCTGGCTCCTAGAGTGAAAAGATTTGCTGCTAAGGTTTAGTGAATTGAATGCTTTGGAAATTATTTGTTGGAGAGCCTGCAGCAGTGGACACTTCTGGGTTGTGGGGATTTTTCTTTTTTTAAGGTGGAGGTGTGAGAGGGTTTTTTTTCTCTCTTTAAGCTTAAAGTAGTCATCAAACTTTTTTGTGGGTCATTGCCTCAGGGTGTTTACTGTCTCTGAAACAGTAGCTCTCAGATGAGTCTTTTGAAAGCTTCAGCAAAGGCAAGGTATTTGACAGAACGTTTGTCATGCAGTATAAAGATGAGAATTTTGAGCTGCCCAAAGCACAGATCTTCCTTAGAGGAGTTCGGCTGCTGAGAACAGCAGTCTTATTTATTTAGCTGCATGAAATCCACTTGCTTGTGGACAACTGTTTTGGGTTTTTTTCTTTTCCCTCAAGACTTCCGCTTACTTGTGTATTCTTCCATATGTGTTTTGAGCTGTGCTTTGAAGTTGGGCAACTCAGCTTTAAACAAAAGCTGTTACCACAGTTCTGCATAGCATCTAGCTTGATTTCAGCATGCTGATGTGTCAGTGATGTGGTTTAGTTAATGAAATGCATTTCTTTGCTTGCTTTGACATTGGTTTCTGTAGGATTAAAATTAAAAACGAAAAAAATAATCATGTTATACTTGGTTTGTTGTATAAAAGCCAAGTCAAAATGGACCTTAGAATGTGATTAAATGTCTGTGCAGCTAGTTGGCTAGTCTTGACACATAAGTGAGAAAAGCTGTGAGTTACCTTGTATTTTTTCCTCTGTCAGCTTCCTTTTCCTCTTCCCCAGTCCCTCTAATAATCTAAGAGATATCTGAAAATCCAGACTTTGTGTGGGTTTAGTTTCTTACGTAAGTTATTATAGCATATTTTACTTCAGAGTGCCTAGATAAAACAATTTAATGTGCATATTTTCTGTTATCTTTGAGCAGTGTACTTCAGTAACAAGATCCAAATAGTACTACTTTGACTTTCTTGAATTTATACTCAAGTCTTTTTTTTTTTTTTTATTGATTTTTATTTTAAATTTAAGGCACAAAATGAAGGGTAGATTCTGACAGGCAGAAGCAAACACAACTGTAGTCAATGGAATTAATTTGTATCCAATTACACCAGCAGTAAATTAGCTATGAGTATTCAACTGTACTATTTCAAATTCATTTGAAAAAGTAACTAAAATCTGATTTGCAAGACTCTGCTCTATGAAGTAAGTTTAATATGTGATAATTTATATTAAGTATGTTAACTGTTTCTGAATGTTTGACCTTTTTTGTTTTGTTTTTGGCAGCAACTTGAATTAGTGGAACCAAGCGGCTGGATTCATGTTCCTTTAACAGATACCCATAAGAAGCCTATTCGCACATTTATGATTCAGATTGCTGTTCTAGCTAATCACCAAAATGGAAGAGACACTCACATGAGACAAATCAAAGTGTACACCCCGGTGGAAGAGAGCTCTATTGGTAAATTCCCTAGATGTACAACGATCGATTTCATGATGTATCGCTCAATAAGATAAAATTTCTTAATGAGAAATAATAAAGGCATTTTTTAATGGCAGTATCATTGCTTAAGTATTCATATAGTTAGAGCAGGGTTTACTTCAGTGTAATTGTCTGTCTATGTTTATACTTTGTACAATTTTGAAATAAAGATAATCTTGTGTTACGGTATGTTGTAGTCTGTCATTGTGTGTTGGTTTTCCTTGGAGTCTTTGAGTGCTTTTGTACTATCTGTGAGGAAAAATAGTGCGCTTTAAAAGAACATACCTGTGGCTTGGAATCAATAATTTATTTGATAAAATATGGTTCTTTTTTTCATGTGATTTCTTCCCCTACTGATCATGCATGGAAATAGTTTGTTCTGTAGCATTACTGTTCATTCCTTTACCTAAAGTTGCTCTTTTTAAAGAGCATTCTTCTTCCACAGAGTTGGTTTAAAGACATTGCCAGTAGTATTTCTCCATCACTGCTTATGTTAATATATTGTACCCTTCTCTGTGTAACTTTTTTTTCTCCGCTTAATGACTGTCTGCTTGTGTTTAGCCTTCGTATAGATCATAAAATCATAGAACATCTCAAGTTGGAAAGAATCCGTAAGGATCATTGAGTCCGACTCCCTGCTCCCTGCAGGACTGCCTAAAGCTAAACTGTGTGACTAAGAGATGTCCAGATGCTTCTTGAAATCTGTCAGGCTTGGGGCTGTGACCACTTCACTGGGGAGTCTGGTTCAGTGACCGATAATGTGATGAAGATGATAATGACATGAAGAAAACCGAACTTTTCCAAATTACTCAATACAGTATAGCCATTAAGATAGATATACTGAGTATAGGTCATCTAAATGTGATAGCTGTTCAAAACAGGAGGAGAGTTAGGAATGCTCCAACATCATACAATAACAGTAGGGATGAATCTGGAGGTCCAATGCACCTTCTAAAGTACTGAGAATTCAAGTGTATAACACAAGGTAATCTCAGACTCATAGCATGGAGTTTCTGTAATGTGTTTTACAGTAAAGAACATTGCAAGGAAAACGTGTGCTTTGTCTGCTTTCTATGAGTAGGAATATTTCCAATACTTAATTTCTGGCAATAAGGTAGAAAAAACAATCTCTGTGGTAGAGCCTCTTCAGATGCTTCCATGACTGCTTGCTAAACTGCATCTGTGAAACAGTTAGGTCCTTGGTCCTTCCTTGGCTCCTTAAAACAAGTATATTCTTAGTATTGTGGGGAAGCAAGTAAGACTGTGGCAGTGAATAGTAAGTCATGATGATGAAAGTGGGAGTAGATTAAAAGGGAGAGTACAACTAGTAGCTCTTTCAACTGCTGCTGACAAAATAATATATGACCATGCCTGAAAGGCAGTGTAAAAATGCAAACTCATTACTACAGTTTGTGTCTTGCTCTTTGATTTTCAGTGTTACTTGAAAACAAGTGCAGAGGCCATTCTAAATTCATTTAAAATCTTTTCTATGTTGTTTCATAACAATTGTAAATATACTGCATTGGTATTTATTGTCTGTGCAAGTACATTTGGTTTTTAACATTTTTGGTGCTTGGTCACATAAGGCTGCTGATTTTTAAGTGATGAGATCCTAGAGGATCGTGTCTGAAAATAAAGCAAGTTACCGCCTTTGTGTATTAATACAGTACTTGGTATTTGAATTGGGATAAACACATTGGTCTGCCAAACCATTGCAGGAAGTTACTACACATATGTTGTGTTTATCTGCTACTTTTTCCTCTTGTTCATTTTTTTCAGACATGATTATCTGGAATCTTATCACTTGAAAGAGCCATTTTATGTGACTAAGCACCAAAATTGATAAGCATACCAATTTTTGCAAAGGCAGTTTGAGAAAAGAAAGGTCTCGTAATGTTAATTTAGTTACGGCGCTTATATTGCCTTACTACATGCTGCTTTGGAATGTGTTAACAAGTGCTGTAAATTACAGTTAGCTTCTAATGTGTGCTAGAGATCCAAAATTGCAAACATAAAGAAAAGCCAGAATGAGTTACCTTTGCAGTGAAAAATCACAACGATAAACATTCTTAGACTCATGTATAAATAATGTTAATAGAATACTAGAACCATTTTGATGTTGATCATGAATTTGCAGGTTTTTAGTGAAAATGGGAATAACATTTTAGCTTGATATATTTGTGTCTCATATACACTTCCAGCTCAGTCTGAAAAAGAAATTTCCTTTGCATCCTGCAATAACTTACATTCATAACTATTTTGTTTTCATTTTTCCCCACATGCACACATTGGCTGCTGTTTGGAAGGAGACAAGTCCTGGGAATCTGTAGCCTTTAGTATGTTCAAGTTGTCAGGTTCTCAGCAGAAATGAATACAGAGCTAGATTTCTAAAAAGTGTAAAATTAACAATTGATCTGTTTGCCCTATGAGGTGGTTTTACAAATGTTAGCTTCAGGGGATGCTAAGAAGAGACAGGTTGTCAAAATGTTGCTAGCTTAATACCTTTTTTTCATTATGGGCAAACAAGACTGCTTTTTCAAAGTGATAAGGAAAAAATAATCAGATATTCACAAATGTGGCTTGCTATGAATTAAAACTCTGTGCCTAAACCTTAAGGTAGTTATGTGAGTATTTTGACTTGCTTCTCCAAATATGAGAGAGTAAGGTATACTGGTTACAAGGACAACTGATCTTAAATAATTCTGATCCTTGGGAAAAAGAGAGCTTTTATTAAATTCTGAACATTTTGCAAGCTGTATGCTTGGAAAAGACTTTGTTGCTATTTGACAAATAAAAACATACAATCTTAGCATCGTTTTTAGCAAGCTGACTGCTAACTAAAGATATTCAAAGTTTAGAATTGAATTCAAATCAGCAATGTGTCCGATCTAAAGGTTTTAGAGATGGGGAGAGGGTGTATTTTTGTATTCAATAATGGACCATACTTTATGTTAATAAAGGTTAAATGCTTCCTGGGTAACTGTTTTTATGAAAACAATGGTCTGAACAGTATATTATAGGTATGTCCCTATGTGAAAGATGGTTCAGAAGCTTTGGCTGTTTTCCCCTGTCCCAAATCACAGGACTTTCCCAACAGTTTGTTTTTACAAACCTTGTCTATAAAGCCAGATACCTTCTTTACACTGGTGCTCTTCTCCAGCTGGAGACTAAGATTATAGTGGATGATTTTGTAGCAGTATCAAAATCAGCTAGTTTATCGAGTAGCAACTATCCAAGAAACTGAACCAGGGGGGTTCAGAGTTGTTTGTTTCTCAAGTGTTATAAAACTTTAGAGCTTCATGCTGTCAGGGAGAGGAGTGGTAGCCAGGAGGCCACCTTTATTCTGTCAATACTAAAGCCTGCTTTGTGTTTTTGAAAATGTACTCTAGAAAGTGGATGAGCACTTAATTGTTTTCTGTTAAAGCTGATGGAATAGTGCTCATTAATTTCAGCAGTGTTGGGTTAAGTCCTTTTGCATATTGAATTATAGTTACTTCTAAGTCTTAGGTTTTCAAATCTTTGTATTCTGACTAGTAGTGTTATGCCATGATGACTTTCCCTCAATCTTTTAAATTTTGCATTTTTTACGTTTTCTTCACTTGTTAATATTAAAGAAAAAGAGAATTGCAAGTTACATCATGGCTGGAAAGTTGGTGGTTTTCTAACTTCAGGCAAGGTATAAAAGTTCAGGGTATACTTTTATGTTTAATTGCAGTATCTAAAGCAGAATTACAGGGTAGATGAGAAAAGAAAGGTAGGCATCATCTTGTTTTAACATGTGCCATGTGGATTTTCCTCCTTGCCCCACCCATAGTTGTAGCTGGAGCATTGTCCCTCACTGTAAAAGCAGGCAGCAGTTTATAATCCTAAATGGACTCACTGGAAAACTAGAGTACCATAAAAAGGGGTAAATAACAGACTGTTAGTATATTATGTGTGAATTGCTATGATTAGCTGTATTATATAGCAAATACCACTTCCTGATTACCAGATTGTGTTTTCCATACCTTTTGTTTTGCCATCTAAGATGTCGTTGCTTAGTAGTCTTTCTCATCTTCTCATGTATGAGAAACATCTGATAAATATTGAGTAGTATAAGATTAAGGTAATATTGAAATAAATGAGAGACAAAATGGAAGAGTATTTGTTCTGAGAAATTGTGACTTGGCAGTGACCTGAGTCATCCCTTCAAACAGTGTTATTTAGGGGGTTTTAAACTTTTTTGAAAGATACCACAGTAGATCTTTCTGCCTCGTAGAGCAGAAATTTGATTCCCTAGTGTAAGTGAAAAAGCCTGTCTTTAGATTAAACCTTGAGTGACCAGGATCTTGAGGAACTCCTGTTGAAATGAATGAGAGTAACTGTTTTGGCTAAGTCATGTCTGTGTGTCTTCTCAGTACCACAGCGTAAACAAAATAGGCAGATGACATTAGGTGGAGAAACAAGGTGTTTGCTGCTTCTGATTTCTAAAATGGAGAACAGCAAAACATTTATGTTTTGCTTAAGATTGCATAGGGAATCGGTCAGAGCTGGAATTTGAAGCCATATCTCTTTTGTCTATCTTCTCTTATTCCATGAAGCAGATTTTCAGATAATGTTACTGTTTTAAAGACAAATTTTGCAGTAATGCAATTTCTGTATGTAATTCTATTTTAAAGTTTAAACTGTATTTTGGGTTTTGCTGCTTGTTCAGTCTGTTGGGGAAATACTTTTGCCAACACTGTGTCTGTAGGTACACAAATACTTTTGCCAACACTGTGTCTGTAGGTACACAAATACTTTTGCCAACACTGTGTCTGTAGGTACACAACTGAAGCTCTTCAGTTCTTGCCTTAGTGCTTGCTCTTCCCTTACCAAAAAGGCACAGTGTACTGTTTAGTGAAAGAGGGATAAGCTACCTTACATTTTATATGGGATACTTGACATGAGATCATTAATAGCTTGCAGTCTGGCTCGAAGATTGGTGTACGTGCCATTTTCCATGCCTTGTTTGATATAAATATAGAATACTGGACTTCTGTTGATTTTTTTTTTATTTTTTTTTTTTTTTTTTTTTGTATAGCTACTCCATACATTAGACTTGAGATGGCTCTTGACTGAACCCTTATTTACTTAGACACGAGTGACCTGCTTGAAGCATCACTTGCTACCTAATTCTGTAGTTGCCCTAGTCTTCCCAAACAGGCACG